TCTCTCTCTCTCTCTCTCTCTCTCTCTCTCTCTCTCTCTCTCTTTCTTAAAATAGTGAGACTATTTTAAGCTTTTATTATCTGGACAGCTAACCAAATCCTCTGATATGAATTATCTACCATACTATTAAGACCTCTCCATAGCAAACTAGGAAGTTGGATTAAACACAGGCCAACAGTCTATAACTCTCATACCCTACTTCCCTTTTTGCTTTAAGAGTCTTGTCTTCGATCTAAGTAAAAACTCACGTATCATGATCCTGCACATATTTTGGATGTTTCTACATGCTCGTCTGTCTGTCTGTCTATCTCTATCTATCTATCTATCTATCTATCTATCTATCTATCTATCTATCATCTACCTACCTACCTATCATCTATCGTCTGTCTATCTATCTACCTTCCTACCTATCATCTATGATCATCTATCTATCTATCTATTTATCTATTTATTTATCTATCTACCTACCTACCTACCTATCATCTATCTATCGTCTATCTATCTATCTATCTATCTATCTATCTATCTATCATCTATCTATTTATCTATCTATCATCTATCATCTATCTATTATCTATCTATCATTATCTATCTATCTATCTATCTATCTATCTATCAATCATCTATCTATCGTCTGTCTGTCTATCTACCTACCTATCATCTATCTATTGTCTGTCTGTCTATCTATCATCTACCTACCTATCTACCTATCATCTATGACTATCTATCTATCTATCTATCTATCTATCTATCTATCTATCTATCTATCTTCCTTCCATCCATCCATCTATCTTTCTATCTGTTTAAGACAGGGTCTCCCTGTAGTCCCAGCTGGCCTGGAACTTGCTATGTAGACCAGGCCGGTCTCAAACTCAGAGATCCATGCCTGCCTCTGACTCTGTGCACTGGGATAAAAGGTATGTCACCACACCCAGCTTGGAAAGATGTACTTTAAACACATTTGTTGTGTTTTGGCACAGGGTTTCACTATGTAGCCCAGGGTGGTCTTGAGCATGCACTACTCCTGCCTCACAGTCTCCAGTGTGAAGATTTCAGGTCTGTGCCACTAGGCTTGGCCATAACTTTTTATAATCAAACGGAAACTATTCTAGGTGACTAGTGTTCATGAAAATAATACATTTTTTGAATTATTTTTTGTTTCTAAGTTTAGTTCAAACTTTTACCTGTGGGCCAATCTGAAGTGCTTGATTTTCTATTGCCCTTTTTCCTGATTCTGTATTGCTCAGAGTAGTCTACCACCTCCCCTCGGGCTTTCCGCCCATCAGGAGAAGGGGTGAAGAATTTGGTAAGGCCATCAATAAGCCCTTTGGTTTTCTTGTTGAACTTCAAGGGGACACTGCTATCTCTGCAGAAATCCAAGCCATCTATTCGCTCTAAGTATCCTTCTTCTGATGACGATGCTGATTGGCTGGAGATAGTGATTCTACGTTTCCGACCCCTTCCAGGACCAGTTCGAACTTTGCTAAAAGGACCTTTTGATCTAAAGAATCAAACGGGGGGAAATTATTAGAAAGAAATCATTATAAGATTTACACTTAATAAACAACATAAATGTAGAAAATAATCTATAGCTTTATTTTTTTCAGGAGCAGGGCCAGGGACAGGGGCAAGTGGGTCTCTGTAAGTCCCAGGCCAGCCAGGACTGCAGAGTGAAACCCTGTCTCAAATTTTTAAAAAGTTCTAAAACTATAAATAGTACATATAAATAAGAAGTAATATCTTAGAAACATTTATTTTCAGGAAGTCTAGTTTATGATGAAAAAAGCCTAAACTACAAGCCAAAAGACACGTTTTAGTCATAAGTCTGTTATTAATTATGTGTCTTAGATAAATCACATTTCTAAATATCACTGTCTTCATCTGGAAAATTAGATGGACCAGTGAACAAGTAGCTTCCAGTTATAAAGCCCTATAATACTTTGATCACTGAACCAATTTGGAGTTATACTTTTCCCTCTAAACACAATGACAGGTTTACTTTCTGAAAATTAAAAATCAAAAGATCATTTTAAAAGGCAAATTAAAGCTTGATTTAGGATGAAAAACATGGACTAGAATACTGGTTTTACAGACCTCACGCTCATCTCCAAGACAGTATTAAGTATAGAAAAGTACAGAAAATTTGAGACAAAAAAGGTTTATAGGTTTGAAGACATTTTTCATATCATCAAAGGTTAATTACAACAAAGACTTTTCTAAAGACAGAATGTTACTGAGTTTGGTCCCACTACCTCCAGACATAACCTTGCTTTCCTAGTCCACAATTTGTGATTTCTGCTAACAGATGAAAACAAATTCATGTCAAGAGAATGCAAAGATGGGACTTGGTTATCACCTCAGTAAGAATTTGTCTAGTGAGTTGCTTATATCTATTGACACAAACAACTAAGGCTGTATCAGAAGAACTTACACAATGATACAATAACAGATTTTTCTTTGTCATTTTTATATAAGAAACAACATAAGGCAATGGTTAAGAGTCACATTTTGGTACCAGCCTTAGGTTTTAATCCAAGTTTAACACTTAATGTATAACCTTGTGCAAAATAATTTCTCTATGCCTTAGTTAGTACATAAAGTATTTAAAGCAGTGCCTGACACTTTATTAAGGGCTCAGTAAGACTCATTATTATACAACAGTGCCAACTACAACAATGGAATCTTTTCATAAAGAAAACAAGTGAACCCTACACTACAGAGAAGGCCCTATCCTTTTCTCCCCTCACCTTGCCACAAGTACAACTTACACCGTGTTTTGTTTCTTTAACCTGTTTTTTGGACGTCCTATTGGGTTAGCATAGCGCCGTTTTATCTGTGCTGCCTTCTTTTGTAGAAGCTTTCGTCCTTTTTTCCTAGGTCGACATATTTGACATATCCACATGCCTGTAAAGAAATAAAATTACGGACAAAAGTATAGACATAAACATTAATAGATTTCAAATACTCTAACTCAATATCTTAACCTTCTCAAGGTGAAGGATGAATGTGAAAATCTAATGCAATGCCTCTGGTAAAGAAAAAGAAAAGCATGAACACATATACATAAATTTCTAAAAAGAGCTGGAGGGAATTCACATACATCCTTGAAACTTGCAAATACAGGATTCACTGATTCTTGGTTAAAACAACCACGACCCAGATTTTAGTGCTTAATTACCAGCCTACAATAAAAAGCCAGGTTTCTCAGGAAAATGGTGGGTTCCAGGTCAAAGACAGGGAAATCCAAAATAATCTGAAAGTTCTCATAATGTAATAAAGCCCAAATATACTCATTAAAGACATGTCAATAGACTCATAAGTCAATGTGAAGGAGTTCCCAATGGCCAAATGGTCAGACCAATGGAAGAGAAGCCACAGAATAAAATACAGATTCACAAGTTGATAATAATTTAAGTAATTCAATAAACAAATAAATATAAGAAAATGGAGGCTGATATTTATGTCAGAATTTCAATTAGTCAATGTAAAAAGAATGGTGGACAGTCACCATTATGCAGGTATCCCAATAACAACTGGATAGACAAGAAAGATTGACAGGTGCTAGTTAGTGGGCAAAAGAGGGAAAACTTTGAGATGCGTGTCAGGCCTCTTCACCATAATCAAGATATCAAAATCAGCATTACTAGTAATAAGGCATATCACTACTAATACACCTGCTGGGAAGTGCAGCACACCACCTCATCATCAAATCCATAACCTTAATCTAATCACAAAACAACAATACACAAACCTAAATTGAGGGTTTTTTCTGTGAAATAATTGACTAGCACTTTTCAAATATGTTGAGGAAAGACAAAGTGTAAGTAATTATTACAGGCTGAAGAGGACTATGGTAGTTTCATACTGACTGCAACGTGAGAGTCTAAATAGATCTTGAGAACTCAAGTAAGACCTCTAGTTAATCATACCAACACTCATTTTTCTGGCTTCAATAAATTTTTTATGGTTTTAGTAAAAAGATAACATTGGGGGAACTAGGTAAAGGATATGAGAAAAAGTATTATTTTGCTAGTTTTCTAGAGGTCTGAAAAAAATTAAAATAAAATCTTTCCTGTATTACGCTGTTATAAAACCCCTTTTGTAGAGGTTAAATACAGAAAAGAACTAAAAAAATCTTCCTGTGGTGGTTTGAATTAGAATTGTCCCTCCTAGGCTCCAAGTATTTATACACTTGGTCAGTTGGTGACACTGTTTGAGGAACCTTCAGGAGGTGTGGGACTTGCTGGAGGAAGCATGTCACTGGGGCAGGCTGTGAGAGTTCATAGCCCTGCCCCATTTCTACTTTTACCCTCTGCTTCCTATGCCTGCTTGAAGATCTGAGTGCTCAGCTTTTTGCTCTGGCTGCCTCCTGCCATGTCTCTGCTCCCTGCACCATGGTGGACTTTTACCCCTCTATTACCAGAAGCCAAATAAACTCTTTCTTCTATAAGTTGCCTTGGCCATGGTGTTATATCACAGCAACGGAAAAGTAATTAATATACTTCATTATCTTGAAAGATTCTCTGAAGGCCTCGTCTAGATTTCAAATAAATGCAAAAGAGCAGGTAAAGGAGTATAAAATTCTACTATATATAACTTTAAGGCATTTTCAACAAGTGAAAATTAATAGAATGGTATATGGGTAACTGAAGAGAAATCCAAAATGGATGATTTGGCTGTAAATTATAGTTGAGAACTTTTCCATCACCATGTAGACATTATCAAATATCCTATAGTCATTATATGTGGAAACTTATAAATAAAAAAATCAAGCGTTGAAACAGAATTTATTGTTAAGGAATATGCCAGCTGGGGCTACAGGGAGACCCTGTCCCAAAAAGGCCAAAAAAAAAGAAAGAAAGAAAGAAAGAAAGAAAGAAAGAAAGAAAGAAAGAAATGAAAGAGGAAAAATCTGGGGACACTAAGCTGAAATATTCTCCCCAATCTGTCAAACTGAATTACTTCTCTAGACCCATTTTTCTTTTAGAATTTGAAATGGGGTCATGATAAGTTACCTAGACTGATCTTGAACTTAATTTTATAGCTCAGGCAAGTCTTGAATTTGATCCTCCTCCCTCAGAATCTCCAAAGCTGGGCTTAAAGGTCTATTATATTAGACACAGCTTGAAGTTGTCTTTTAAAGATATTATAAACAAATGATAAAATGGCATTTCATGGAAGTCTAACCAAAAGGCAATTATATTCCAATTAACATTTTTCAAGGAATAAGAGTCAAAAGAATCTAGTAAGATTTAGCTGAACCCTTATGATTTAGATGCTTATATGGTCAAAAATTATTTTATTAAAATTTTTTTAAAGTTTTAAATAATTCAGATCTGAGTCTACACCCCTAAGAAGTACTGAGCAGGAATACAATCAACATTTCCTAATACAATTTCATTTCCTCCATTAGAAAAAAGGGTTCAAGATACTATAAAAGGCAAGTATTTGGCCTCCAGTTAGAAACCAACAAATATACATATATGAACCATTTTACCATTCACAGATGTTGAAATGTTGAAAATGGATGAAATAAATACAAAAATGTTAATAAACCTAAACAAAAAAGTCTATCCTTATTGTTAAGGTGACAGCTGTCTTTCTATTTATATATTGTCAAAAGGAAAAAGAAGGTTTTTTTTTTTTTTCATTTTAACAATAGACAAAATGTGCTTTCATTAATATATTCCTTTCTCAGTTTAATTTCAGAAAGGATTTCTTACCTTTTGGCATCCGTGTGAGTGGAGGATCACAACACTCCATGTGAAAACCTCGGTCACATGAATCACAAAAAAGCATATTATCCTTAAAAAGAAAAATAGAAAAGACAGTTTCACTTAACCTTATGAAACAGGACCTCATTGGGACATTATCAAATCTCAGGAGCATCAAAGATCTCAAAAGAGATTATCACCATATTAAAAGTTTCCTTAGTCTGTATTAACTAAGTATACAGTCTTATGTTAGCACAAGTTTTGCTTCATCTAATTTTTGGTAAAAAGCTACAGTTTCATTACTTTCTAGTATATTCAGAAAGACTAGAGCAAACTCTGGTTTATCCTAATCAAAATGAAAAAGATTACTTGTAATTAGGAAAGAAACATTCAAATTAACAACTTTAATTTCTGCTTGAAGAAACTTAGGGATCTTTCTTTAAAACAATTTAGTCTCTCTACAAATATAATCAAGTTGCTTTACAAAGAAACATGTTTCCCTGGAAATACTCTAAGTCTAAGCAAGAAAGTATTCTAAACTAATGGTATGTGACTGGAAACTAAATGAAACAGCCATGTTGGAAGGCAAAATACTCACTGCATTTTTGCCCTGATCACGACAGGAGCTGCATGTTTTACACTCAATACATTGCCACCGTAAGGCTTTTACTCTAACTGTCAGTTCTGAGGAAAACTTTAAACAGGATGGATGACCTAATAGGGATGAAAAAAATTAGTGATGAAAAATAAAACGTTATTTTGTAATTATACCAAATAAATGACACCGAAAATGGCAATTATCTTAAAGACAATATATCAGATGAAAGAAGATACTCCTGGAAATTTGCCATACAATGTATCATCAAGACTTGGCACTCCAAATAAGTTTTACTAATGCCAAATCAGTTTTAGAACATCTTCCTGGAATAAAGTATAAAACTCTTGTTAGGATTCAAACTTGTACCGTGCCTACATCAAAGCAATATGTTTATTCACATGCTCATAGGTATATGAATAGAAAGTATGTCCAGGCTACTTCTGAAAGAACATTTAAAATACTTATTTGTTTACATTGGTAACAACCTACAAAACAGAGTTATAAACATTTTAAAGGAAAAATTTTTTATACCCACTTTTGTGCTCTCATTAAAAAATTTTAAAAACTGATTATTTGTGTGTTTGTGTGTGGGTGTGCACATGTGCTTGTGCCAAAGCATTCATGTCAAGGACTGAAGACTCTATTGATTCAGTTCTCTCCTTCTACCTTTATGTGGGTTCTGGAGATGGAACTCGGGGTGCCAGGCTTGCATGGCAAGTGCCTTTACCTGCTGAACCATCTTGCTAGCCCAAATAATCATTTTTATTATTACGTAGGGGGTGGGGGATGTGTGTAGGTCAGAGGACAACTTGGAGGAGCTGATTTTCTCTTTCCACCATGTGGGTCTTAAGTGTTGAACTGTCTGTCAGGCTTGTGGCAAGTGTCCTTACCTGCTGAACCATCTCAGTTGTGCTCTCATTTTCTAATGGGAACAGATCACTTTTATAATTTAAAATAAAAATCCCTGCTTAATGAATTATATGCTCATGATTTAAGGTACTTAAGTTAAATCTAAAAGAAAGTGGTATTTCTGCTGGGATCAGCATTAGCAGCAACGGGGCACGGAAAGTCCTCTTCTATGAGGTCTGGCTCTCATTTTCTTTTCTTTTCTTTCTTTCTTTCTTTCTTTTTTTTTAGATTTTTTTTCAAATCTTTTAATAGAATTTTTGTGATTTTTCATACGATATAGTTTGATATTTTTTCCTTATTTTTAAAGTATGCGATTTTCTTTCTACTCAGCTAATCTAACAGTTGTTATAGTTCTTTTTCTTTGGTGAGAAATCGGCTAGTTAAATCTTTTCTCCTCTTTTTTCCCCTCCTGAAGAATTCTCTCTTTCATGAAGTAGTAGCTTATCCTCAAAACATCTCTAACACTGAAAGCAGGAGAGAAGTGTGAACGACATCCATCATCTTGTCTTTGTAGAGTAATAGGTATTTTTATTCTACTTTTCCTTCTAAAACTAGCTGGAAACTCTACATGGTTTCAGCCATAGAGTATGTAGCTTTTGTTTTGCTTTTCATTATTTTATCTTAGTAAACATAACATTTATAGTCCTTAAACTAATTATATTGTGCTTATTTGATACATGACAACCTCCATGACCATTTCCCTACTATTAAATACCTGGACTATAAACAGAAAACTAAAATAAATTATAGCGTGGTTACAGATTCTTTTCATTTTAAATTAACTATTTAGGAAAAATTTCCTAGAAGTAAGACTTTGGTGAGTGTAATGACATTTTTAGTGTGATTGGCTGAGATGCACAGCCGAACTTTTCCAAGAGTCATGGTACATCCAATGCCACTAGCCAAGTATGAAAACTTTGTTGTAAATGTTTTAAGTGATAATGTTACAATATCATTCTTGGACTGTGCTTTCAATCTACATTGTTTAATGCTATAAAATTACGTTTTACTACTTGGCATGCATTTCTGTTTCTGCATAGGTAAAGTTGTTTTAGTTTACCCAACAATTAATGTTCTCTTAGATAAGTTACTTATTCAGACTTTCCTCCTTGAACTTTATGCTTAGAAATGATTAAGCATGCTCTTTATACTTACTTGTCTTTTCCTATATTTAATGCAATTGTTTCCCCCAAATTATTCTTGTTCTTTTTAGTTAGGGTTATATAAGTTTTAACTTTTTTTTTTTTTTAAATATCAATTTGCTTGGGCTGGAGAGAGGGCTCAGCAGTTAAGAATACTGGCTGCTCTTGCAGAGGACTCAGGTTCAATTCCCAGTATATATATATGGCAACTCACAACCATCTGTAACTCCAGTTCTAGGAGATCTGACTCCCTCATTTTGGCCTCCATGGGTACTGCATGCATGTGGTGCACTTACATCCAAGTAGGCAAAATACTCATACACATAAAATCCATTAAAAAAAATCAATGTGCATATCTATATCTGACTGTGTTCATATTTTTTTCTTGGTTGTGATGGCCCATCTCCAAGTTGCCTTGCCTCCTTATATAGGTCCTTTCCCACAATAAGGTAGGGTTGATCTGTTGCTAATCAACTCTGGGTTGATAATACAATATTGCTAAAATGACCTTATTCTTTCTTGGATATATGTTTAGAAAAAGTGCCATATTGTGGATATTCACACAGTCCTATCTAGAAGTCCACATGGAAAAAAACTGAGGCTTCTTGTCAACAGGCAACAGCCTCAACTTGCTAGCCAGCTAAGTGGGGTCATCATGGAAACTTCAGGAGTCTGCAGCATCAATTAAAATCTTAAGTCTATCCTCATGAGATACCAAGTCAAAATTGCTTATATAAGCCACTCCCAAATTCAAGACTCACAGAAACAGTACGAAATTAAAATGTCTGTCATCAATTTAAGCTGCTAGTTCTCAGAGTAATTTATTTCTGTAGCAATAGACAACCGCTATTTATCACTTTTAAAACACAGAAACTCTGCAATAATAGCTTCAAATCGTGCTCTTCCTTAACTTAGACTCTGAGACTTCCTCAAACATGTTTACTCATAGAAAGCAGAGCTTTAACACATTTCCCCACACACATTTCATTCCACATCACTGTGAACAGACTCTTTCTTATGTTTTACATACTTGGGATCCCATCATAAAGTTTCATTTTTTAGAAGAGCTCCATTACTAAAATAGTTTAGAAACCATTATGGTATACTACTGTATTGTTATCTAACTAACTCTGATTTTATGGTTTACGTAACTATGAAACCTATACAGAGTTCATTTCCATTTTTGGTATTATGCTATATATGGTTCACTAGTACTCACGATTCATTCTCATCTTCTAATATGTCTACAACATATAAAAACTGAAAAGGCTTGGGCTGGAGATGTAATTTTGTTGGTAGAGCACTTGCCTGGGATGGGCAAAGTCCTGGGTTCCATTGCTAAGTGAGGGATTGGCACTGAAAAGCTAAAACTGCTTGCTGGGCACCTTTGGAACTAGGCTCTAGAAATGAAATGAATTCTAACAACTGGTTATGTTCAAGGGAAATCTGCAAGGCAGGAATGAAGCAAAGATCACCTATCCTCTGTAGTGCTGTTTTCTAATGATAAGCAAAGTCATGAAAACAACAGTGTTCACTACAGATGGCCATGATGATGGCCAAAATCAGACTCTTAGGACACAAAACTCAGTAGCATTATGGGGCCCTCCTATTTCCAATTCTTCCCGCTAGAGGAAGACATGGCAACTTCCTGGCCTAATGGATCACTCCAGCAGGAGTCTTGGGCTTTAAAGCCCAGTTGAAAGCTTAACCCATCAGCCTTTCCAACAATTTCATAAACACCTGAGTACAGCACTGAATTCCTCTTGAAGTTATCTAGTGAAGCTTCTGTTTCCTGGCCAAATCCTGAGTGTTACTGTTAAAAACACTGACAATTAGGAAAGTAATGAAAGATAATGCTGATTTACTAAAGTCTTCCTGTAAAGTCTTATGAGTTCCTATGACATTGAGCAAACATATCTCTAAAACTGGCAAGTTAGAAAATTCTGCAAAAATCTTTCTAAAGGCCAGGATTTCATGACCTCAATAAACCCCAGTCAACACTATCCCAATGTAACAAGAAAAATCCAGAAAATCAAGTCTGCTATCATCATGGTTCTATGGATTAGGCCCAAGGCCTAGATCCAGAAAAATAAGAATGATGTATTTCTGTGTGTCCTTATGTGTTGATGTGGGTATACCTGAGCATGGAAATATACATGTATGGGGACTTACCCTCAGGTATAGTTCCTTAGGAGCAATTTACTTTGTTTTCTTGAGACAGGAGCCATCAAATAAGTTAGTTTGTCTGGCCAGTGAGCCCCAGAGACCTACCTGTCTCACTTCCCCATTGCTGGGATTCTAAGTTCATACAACCACAATGCTCTTTTTTTTTTTTTTTTTTTTTTTTTTAAAGGACAGTCTCACTAGGTAGCCCTGATTGGTCTGGAACTTACTATGTAGACCAGGTTAGCCTCGAATTCACAGAGATCCACTTGCCTCTGCCTTCAGAGTGCTAGGTTTCACATGCCTGGCTCCAAACCTGGCTTTTTAAAAACCTGAGTTCTAGGGATTGAACTTAGGTCCTCACACTTACATACCAGGTACTTTACTGAGTAAGCTATCATTTCCCCAGCCCAAATGATGGTTATTAAAGAAAACAAGAATGAATTTAAAGTAGTGTGATTTAAGCAGGTATGTAATAATGAAATATAAAGCTAACAAAAATAAATAAATAAATAAATTCACAGAAATGTACTTAAAAAAAATCTTAAACACAATTTAAATGAACTAAACATTTTAGATATTCAAATCCCTCTCTAAGGTAGAAGCTCTCAATTCAGTTACCTAAAACCGAAGTCAAATTAAAACATTCATTTCGCAAGGGTCAAGAGTACCAGTTCAGTTAAGCACTCTTCCTCTTGCAGTACATATGTGTTAGAAGGCAAATAAATCCACATACCACTGTTGCCACAGTCTGCGCAGGAGATGAGCTCCTCAGGCTGCTTTTCCCGGTTTTGTTCTTTTGTACCAAGACAGAAACTACAGATGGGGATCGGCTCAGCAACAGGCTGTAGAGAGAACATAGCTGATTCCAGCACTAGTACTTTAAAGTATGAAAGCAAAATTAAAATTAGCCTTACATTCTGTAAGACTCCACCATGAAGATGAATGCTATCTAGAAAAGCAGCCAATATGTATACAACATAACATTAGGCAGAACACAGTAAAGCATTGTTAAGAGACAAACAGTCAATACTCTCTGTAGTACTGGAAGTGAGAGAAATTCCCATTGTGATTTGGAGGACAAGACAGCATACATTCAGTGAAAATACTACCATGGACTCTTAGTAATACAGGCCAAGGACAAGAGTGTAAGAAGCAAATCAAAGCATCTATGTTCCTTTCTGTACTGGTTTCCCCCACTAGTGATAGAAAGGCAATACAGATAGTATCATAGAATAGACTCAGGTGTACAGACTTAAAGTGCATGGGTTCTTTGTAAAGGGGGAAAAATGGGAGGGAGGGAGGGAAAAAAGAGAGAAAGAAGAAAACAAAAGAAAGATTGAGAGAGAGAAAAGGCTAGGTCATTTTGTGAAAACTGTGAAGAAATTAGTCTTTCAAGCTCAACAAAATGCATACATTAAGTATTTTCAATTTTCATACATCAACTATAGTTTTAAAAGATTAAAATATTTTATGATTGAAAAAAGGAGAGTT